TGAGTACCCAAACTCCATCCTAGAACTTGCACCCCCAGACTCCTTCCCTCACCCAACTCCCTCCCGGAGCCTTAAGTAGTCAGCAGGGAGTTTGAGTGGTGGGGGGTGTGGGCTCTAAGCAGACTTCTACAAACCTGCCAGCATTGCTTCCTGTTGCTATTTGCCCCACTCCAAGCCTGCTGAAGCTACATTTAGGAACAGAAGAACTGTCATATTGACTCAGGCACACTGTCCATCCTATGCCACATCCTGGTTCCAACACTGGTAGCTGCCCTAGAGGAAGAAGCAATGCAGCTTGTACTGAGCTGTTTAGATTAGACACCTTCCCTTAGGCAAACTTTCTTCCTTACCACAGGGAATATCCCTAGTTGCCTGAAGCATATTTCTCACTTGCCTCCATGGAAGTGGGAACCTTCTACTGGGCACATCCTTCTTTGATCCTGCTAATCTCAATTCCACTTTAGAGTAGTCCAAGATCAAGAGAAGCCCAGATCATTTCATCTGGCCTCCCCAGTATCACAAGCCACCAACTCCATGCTGCACCCACACACTAAACCCAGCCACTGATGTCAGATCTGAGAATTCCAGCCCAGAGGAGCTGACTGTGTGCCAAGAGCAGATAATAGGAGAATACCAGCCAGAAGTCTTGTGCGTGCATGCACATGCTTATCAGCTTCCAGACACCACCAGCTTCGGCAATACTAGTAGTGCCTGCTAAGCACCACAGATCTGTGTGTGCAGGCTCCCACTAAGCACACACCAACACCCTCAGGCTAGGTCTACACTGCAGAGCTATTTGGCATACCAGAAGTATCCTGAAATAGCTAAACTTAAGACAAATGGTCTGGTAGCACTTTAGAGACTAACAAAACATGTAGATGGTATCATGATCTTTTGTGGGCACAGCCCACTTCTTCAGATGACCAGAGTTTTGAGTTTAGGATGTGCGGGCCCAAAACAGGGGAGAAGGAAAAGGGGGAAGGAAAAAAGAAAGGGGGTGCAAAACAAGGAGTAGAGGGTATGAAAATATCAAAGGCAAAAAACAAGTAGGCAGAACCAGTAAGAGCTCCTGAAAACTGGCTAGCTAAAAAGAAGCAAATAAGGATCAAAGAGGATAGCAATAGATAGTAAGGGTACAAACAAGAATCGACACAGAGCTGTTGGCACCTTCATTGAATGTTAGGCTGATAATGTCCTATCAGCATCATCAATAGCTATTCCACATCTTTTGAGTAAGCCCATTATTTCAAAATAAAATGGGCTCACTATTCCACGAGGAGTAGGGGACATTTTGTAATAGCGCTCTATTTTGAGGTTTGGTGCTGTCTAGACCAGGGGTCTCCAAACTTTTCAGCCCGAGGGCCGCATTAACTATCAATCGCCTCCTTGACCTTGTAGTAGCACAGCGAGTCCCGGTCGGACAAACTCCGGTAGGCGAGCTGGGCCGGACCGGACAGGTAGGGGGCGAGTATAGTAGCCCAGTGCTCTTGGGGCCAACGGGCTGCCGTGGCCACTCGTTCGAAAGTTACCAAGAATGCCTCGGCGTCGTCCTCGGCCCCCAGTTTGGTGAGCCTGATGGGGAGTCGCGCTGGGCCCGCCGCCTCCTCCTCTCCTTCACTGGTGGGTCCGATCAGCCCCGTCCCATCCTTCAGCTCCCTCACCAGCTGCTTCTGTTGCTCCCTAAACTCGGAGGTTAGCTGTCGCAATGCTTCCGTCTGTTGTCTCTGGAGCTGGCGCTGGCTATCCACCAGCCATTCTACGATTTTGTCAGCATCCATAGTGCAGTCGCCTGTTTAAGATGGCAGTAAAATAGAGTGGACACACACCCACCACCCTTGCACCCTAAGTCACAGGGGCATAGCTGCCCACATTCTCCACCACGTGTCGCGGGGCGCAGCACAGTCCGCCGCCCCCGGTCTATTAGTAATCCAGTTGTGCACAATGCACCGCTTACTTTCGCACCTCCTCGGCGGAGTGGGGGGTCCGGGCCCGCCCTCACTCCGGACCCCGACCCAGGGCCCTAACACCGAGAGCGTACCTCTCGGTGGTAGCAGGGGGGCTAGCACCCCAAACGCACCTGCTCCCGGGATACACGACCCGCCCTGGGTCCTACTCCACTCCGCCGGCCGCTGCCCTGCTTACTGGGTTGCTCCGCTCTCCGCCTTCCCGTCCGGGGCCGCTCCTCTCGGGGCTCCTCTGCCCGTCGCTCGCCTCTCCTCCTCCTTGCTTCCCCCTTGCCACTCTCGTCCCGGCCCTTTTCTGCTCCCCTGCACTTCCGGGTTCCCCCCTCCCCCCTCCGTTGTCGCGCCCGTGACGTCACCCGCCACGCTCCCGGGCGCGCCGTGATGACGCGCCACGGCCTCCCCGTCCCCGTTCCTCGCGTCCTCCGGCGCTGCGGCGTCTGCGCCCCTCTCTCCCGCGGTACCAGCTACCGCTTGCGAGTGGCGGGGCGGTTCTGCCCCGTCACAGGTACCTTGATGCAAAAGTTTTGACATTAGGAAAAAAAGGTCTCCACGGGCCGGATGAGAGGGCCTCGCGGGCCGCATCCGGCCCGCGGGCCGTAGTTTGGAGACCCCTGGTCTAGACCATGCCCAATTTCAAAATTAACTCAAATTGCACAGCTTATTTTGAGCCCTAGGTGCAGTGTACATGCACCCTCAGAGTGCTCCTTTCAGCGCACAGACCTTTCTTCACTGCACTCAATTACTAGAGCTGCTGTCCCCCATGGACCAGTATACACCAGCTTCAATTATTTCAGCTCAAGCTCTACTGTGCTGAATTAGTCAGCATTGCAATATGTGGGGAGTAAAAATGAGCGGTCCAACTGAGTAGTAAGGAGAATGGAAACAGAATGGTTACCTCTAGAACAGAAATATAACCTGCTTCTGGGAGTCTAAACGAAACCAGCTAAAACATTTGGAAAGTACAGTAAAACTCCAATGGTCCGGCATCTGACGGTCCGGCACTCCTGCTGGAGCCCAGAAGTGCTCCGGGCAGCCGGACCATTGGAGCTGCTCTGCCCCCAGCTTCCCCAAGGAGAATGGAAACAGAATGGTTACCTCTAGAACAGAAATATAACCTGCTTCTGGGAGTCTAAACGAAACCAGCTAAAACATTTGGAAAGTACAGTAAAACTCCAATGGTCCGGCATCTGACGGTCCGGCACTCCTGCTGGAGCCCAGAAGTGCTCCGGGCAGCCGGACCATTGGAGCTGCTCTGCCCCCAGCTTCCCCGATTCAGCTGCTGCTAAAACTGACCAGTGCTGAATCCGGGAAGCAGGGGGCAGAGCAGCTGGAGTGCTGCTGGGTAGGTCCAGTAGCGCTGCCCCTCGGGGCTGCGGGACCAACCCAGCAGCACCCCAGCTGTCCCAGATTCAGCCGCTGCTGAAATTGACCAGCAGCTGACTCCAGGAAGCCTGAAACCTACCGGATCAACCCGGCAGCACCCCAACTACTCTGCTCCAGGCGTCCCCAAGAGCAGCTGGGGTGCTGCCGGGTTGATCTCGCTGTGCCAAGGGTCGGCGCTACCGGACCAACCCGGCAGCACTCCAGCTGCTCTGCTGCAGGCGTCCCCAATTCAGCCGCTGCTGAAACTGACCAGCAGCGGCTGAATCAGTGACTACTGGGGCAGAGCCGGACTATCAGAAGGGAGGGCTATGAGGGGGTCTGGGGTAGCATTCCCCCCACCCACCCCAGACCCCTCATAGCCCCCCCTTCTGATAGTCCTGCATATCTGATAATCTGGCACCCCCGGGGTCCTAAAGGTGCCGGATTATCGGAAGTTTACTGTATTTGGGAAGTAGTTATTCTCACCCAAAACAAACGCCTCGCATCTCCAACCAGTATGGCAAGGATCCCTCTTTCATGAATGCAGGAGTGCTGTCCTTGGGGACAGCCCTTTATCCTCCCACAATCTCCTCCCCAGTACAATTTGAGGACACCAGCATTTTCTGCAGGCACATAGGACTATATAGGCCTTAGAAGTCTGTCACAGGACAGCCAAATACCAGAATTTGAGCCCCTGTGGGATTTCCCGGGAGACATACAAAGACTAGAATGTTTGTTTGCTCCTCTGAAGCTTAACATTTCCAGGAGAGCTGTGAGGATTGCACCAAGTGGGGCTTCTACACCAAGTCCTCTTCAGGACTCTGTTGGTCTCTTCTTCCATGTTCCATCCCTGCTGCTCTCAGGATCTGCATGTTCCCAAGAGGGAGAGGCAGCCAGATTAAAAGTGGATTGTTAAATTTACCTGGGATTCTTTCATCCCAAAGCTCTATGTCACTTTACCTTGTGAGGTGGTGTCAGGAAATTGATGGAGACATGGCCATCTGACTGATGGAGGACTGACAGAAAAAACCCACAAGAGTGCTGTCATTCAAAGCTAAACTTGACAGTCTCAAATGCCTATACACCTGCAACAGGTCAGGAAAAACACCCCCAGTCCTCAATTAGAGTTGGGTGTGGCTTGAGTGACAGCAGTAGTCTTCCAATGACCAATCATCCCTCAGCCAGTAGGGACCACCAAATGTGTTGAGGGAGGGTCTATGAAGAATCCCTCCCAATGAGTCCAACTTCCCCATTTATTCATTAGTATTACTAAGCAAGCAATTTTAAAGGTTAAGCAAAAAGCAACCGTTTGCCTATCAATTAGCCAGATGTGGTTTTAGAGTTTGCATACTTTGAGGCCCTGACAGATACCTCCCCAAGGGCACAGACAAACTTCCTGTTTAAATGCATAGCTCAGCAATTTCAGAGATTCACCATCAGGAAGGACATGGGGTCAAGCGTCCCTTTATGTGGTACCCAACCCCCGTCCCCACCTGACTTGGTTATGCTGCATTGGCCTATTTACAGTCTGCTGCTTGTAGCAAAAAGCTGTTGTGGTTCAGGTACTTGACTGGTTTGCTAAAAGTTTCCCTTGAGTACAATCCTGAGATGGAGAGTGTGGGGACCTGGATCTGTCAGTTCTGGGAGTTTTTGAAGAGAACAAATGCAAAACACTTACGAGAAGGGAAAAAAGTTTATTTGAAAATAGTTCCCACACACTTTCACATTTCCGGTGAGAAGAGCGCTACAAAAATAAGAAAAATCTGAATCACCACAAGCAGAACAAAAGTGACCCTCCCCTGCAGCAACAGGTTCTGGGAGGGCTTTGGAAGCCAGAGTCTGCTTGAGGGGTGGAAGCGAAAGAGCGATTCAAGGCCCCTCCACCTCTATAGCAACCCCCTCCATCCTGATAATGGAGGACGTGGATGGTGGCACTTGGGCAAGGGGATCAGCCGGACGGAGGAATGTAGCGCTCCGCAGTGCAAACAGAATGGCTGGGATCCAGACACAGAGCAAGTGGAAACATCAGGAGAGCTCTGCCCCTTCATCTACTCAGTAACTGAGCCCCCCCCAGCCCTTAATATACACAGCAGGACAGAAGCAGGCAGAGCAATGGAAGTTGCAACTCAGTGACGCCATCCAGCGGAGGAGAATCCTGCGACACGGTTCAGTGGATGTGGTGACAGCCCTCGTTCCTTCTGTTCTATGGCACACTCAACTGCCAGAGGACAATGAACAGAATCGATACCAAGAGGCCCAGTACCAGGGATGCGATGTTCAGGCCCTTGGCTGTCTTGCCATAGCTTCCTGCTCCATCGGAGTCACCCAGAACTTTACGATCTCTGGCCTGGGGGAGAAATAAAGGAAAACAGTGAGATGTCAGACACTCAGGCCAGCTCTTCAGAGTGGACATATTGAGGGCTCATCAACTCAGAGTGTCTGGCTCCAGCTGACAATGCTGCTGGCAAGCCAAGGATTGAGGAGGAAATGAATAGAGTGACCCCCAAACAGTCTCCACCTCTGTGACCTCCCTACAACAGGTGCAATCAGAAGGGTCCCCATGGGACCATCACCTGGTGTGTTGATTATGCCACTGAGCCAGCCTATTTCCCACTGGGGGGGGGGAGAGGAACCATATTACCCTAGCCTGCTGGGCCATAAGCTCTGCTCTCCCCCAGCCAAGGCAAGAGTTGGGGGGGTAACAGCCCCCTAGCACAGCAACAGATACTAAACCAGTTCAGTTTTAGGAGCGCTCAGCTATAAGGTCATGGATGGCACCCAGGAAGACAGCCCCGAAGAGGACCAAAACCCCAGACAAATCTGTCTTACACTGCATTAAAAAAAAAGTGGCGCAGAAAAGTCAAGGTCACCCTTAGTAATGAAAGATGCAAAGTGGTTCCTTCCCCCACTAACATTTACACTGATAAACATGTTTTTATTAAGTGGAATTTAAGTGTTTGCAAGTGAAGACATACAGATCGATTAAGTTACTAAGCCAAAATAGACACACCAACCAAGACACTAGCTAATCCTAAGACACTTTGTATGTTCTTCACCCTTTGTCCCTGGTTCAGGTAAAAATCTTTCCAGACAACTATTCTCTCTACACCCTGCGTCTACAGCTTAAGAGTTTTGTTTTCAGGTTTCTTCACGTGTAGCCTCTTAAAGTGGAAGGGCAATGTCGAGAGTCAGATGAAGACAAGATGAAGACTGCTTTCCATTCCTTACACAGGCCATCTCCAGATCCCCATGGAAAAATACCAGTTACAAGAAGGATTCCAGGTGGCATGGTTACATGTCAAGGAACAACCATGGTTTGGGATTACAGGAAAAACAAAGCCATTTACAGATAGTTACCTTGAGTACTGAGCCATTATGTTTCTGGAGTATCAGTAATGGCACGTATTAGCACATAGAAGGTACATCTAACTGTCAGTATTGAGAAATAACATAGCCCATGTCTACATTATAAGCCTTTATTTCAAAATAATGTCGAGCTGAAGGACTTCTTACTCCGACTCAAGGTAACCCCCATTTCACAAAGGCTGTGTCTAGACTGGCCACTTATTCCGGAAAAGCATTATTTCAAAATAATGTCGAGCTGAAGGACTTCTTACTCCGACTCAAGGTAACCCCCATTTCACAAAGGCTGTGTCTAGACTGGCCACTTATTCCAGAAAAGCATTCGCTCTTCTGCAAAAAGTGCTTTTGCGGAAAAGTGTCCTGCCAATCTAGACGCGCTTTTCCAAAAATGCTTTTAACGGAAAACTTTTCCGTTAAAAGCATTTCCAGAAAATGCCAGTGTAGACATAGCCAAAGAGTAAGGGAAGTCTAAGGAAGTCTGTTCTTCAGCTTCCTGCTGCATAGACCATGCCTAAAGCAGAGTTAAGCTAAGCTACTTCAGCTACACAATTAATGTAGCTGAAGTGAGTCAAAGTTGCTTATCTTCGACTTTGTCCCACAGAGCAGACATACCCTTCGAATTGTAAACCAGTTCACACTTCATGTATCATTTTTGTATGTGAAGTGAGAAATATGCACAGAAATAGAATATATACAGAACATTGGAAAAATTCCATTGACTATATGACAGGGTTTGGTGACACCCCTGGGTGGTTGTGTAACCAGCACCAAGTAGAATTTCTGAATACACTGCCTCTGTATTGGACACTGCCCAACCCTCTAGAACAGAGATTCCCAAACTTTGGCATCATGCTCCCTCTTTGATTTGAGAAACCCTCAAGTGCCTGCCTGCCTGCCTGCCGCCTCCCCCCCGCCCATAGCAGCGAAACTTGAGGGAAAAAAAAGGAACTGGCCTAGGGCGGGGGGGGAGGAGGAGGAGGAAGAGGATGGAGCAGGGGGAGGCTGGGTCACCTCCCCCCACCCCACAGTTTGGGAGCCCATGCTCTAGAAGTTCAGGGGATGTCACTCCTCATACTTTCTGAAACTTGCTTTATGAATTGTCTACATCATCATCTTCAAGTAAGGCATAAATACCTCATGTAACAATTTTAATGTAACAATATGCTGAATGTGTACATGCTATTTGATGTGAATTGAGTAACTTACTTTGATCTGAATGTTTTCACTTGCAACCACTTAATTAAGTAGGATTTATTTTCACTGATCTTAATAAAAAAATCCCATTTGATAACCTGGAAAGGGGGGGGGGGAGAGGAAGCAACCACTGTGCATCTCTTTCATTGATAAAGTGGGCTGACCTTATGAGCTGCCTCTGTGTACAACTTAGTAAGATGGACTTATTGGGTGGGGGGGTTGGACCCCTTTTGGGGGTTGCTTTCCCTTACAGCTGAGCCCTCCTGGAGACACTGAACCACTTCAGCAGTGTTCCACAGGGGAGCGGTGACCTCAACACTGTGCCTTATTTGGGTCAGACCAGAGGATCTGGCCCAGCAGACTGGAGTGATAAAAAGCCCCAGATAGCAGCAAAGGGGTGTTGGTGGCAACATCAGCACACTGGGGGAAGCCCAAAGAGGCTTCTGCAATTCAGCCAGTCATGGATCATTGTTCATAAGATGACAAGGCTATCTAATATTTGACTTTACCCTGTGCCCTCAATACAAAGAAAATGTGTGTTTTTACCACTGGGAAACATGGAATAGCCCTCATCTTCCTGTATAAAGCGAGGCACGCTCTCATGAAGAGGCAAACAAGGTGAGGTCTGCCCTATGCCCACATCCTCCCAATGCAAAGGAGTAACCAGACAATTTGTTGAGAAAAATCTGTTTGCAGCAGTACAACACAGTGAACTTAACAAAAATGAAGAACATCCCGAAAGTGCAACAGAAGAAAATTTGCAGCATGCCTAAAAGGTGGCTTGAACTTGAAGTATGCAACAAGTATAAATAATTCAGCTGAAAAAAGTCAACATTGAAGTATGTGCTGCAGAGGAAGAGAAAGTGTGTGTGCTTCTTGGTTTACAAGATGGTGGGTTACTTACAGAAATACCGATTTAATACATTTGCAATTCCAAAGGGTGGAGGAGACAAATCAGGTGTTACTGGGAAGCCCAAAAGGTTATTAAAATGCAACAGCAAAGTACAACACTTCTAGATGTAGAAATGGCTTTGGAAATGTACCAGCAAAAATATGAAGCTAGGGCAGCCTAAAGGCTGAAGCAGAAAGGAAATTCAGCACCCTAACATGTACAGTATTTTGAGCCAAAATAACACTGAACCAAGCATAACTTAGGATTTTGGTATTCTGTAGCGGTCACCTTCTCTTGGGTTTTATTTGTCCTGGGTCATATTTGTTCATTTTTTTTAATTGTATCCTTTGGTATATATGGTTGTGACTACTTTCTTCCACTATTTGATCTGAGGAAGTGGGTCTGGCCCACGAAAGCTCATCATCTAATAAACCATCTTGTTAGTCTTTAAAGTGCTACATTGTCCTGCATTTTGCTTCTCTTGGGGTGCTAGGTTTAGACAAGTTGCCTTTGAAGAGGCTTTCCTACAAAGTAGTACAGTGAATTTTTGAAATACTCCAGCGGCTAGGTGGACTTTCAGAAGGGTCTAGGTGCTGTTAAACGTTAAAACAACATCTGACTAGTAGTGAATGTTCAAGGGACCAAGTTCTGCCCACAAGCGAGGACCCTTTTCCAAGAACTACCTTGCCGGATAGAAGCAAAGTCAGCCACTGACAAAGCCCATTGGAGAATCCAGGGAAACGGAGTGAGTTTTTACACCAACCCTTTAAGTCCTAGAAAACTAGATTTGTGAGCGACCTCGAGGGTCATCAGTCCGCTTCCCAGACCTCACAGCAGGACTAAGCACCAGCGCAAGCCCTTTGGTCATAGGAGCCCAGAATAAACAGGTGCTTTGCAAAAAAAAAAAAAAAATAGCTTCAGCATTAAGCCCTGGCGGCCGTAGGACTGCAACCCAACCGGGAATTGCGGCGCTAGGGCGGAGCGGGGTGGGTGCAGCCGCAGCGTCCCAGGCACATTTTCCAACCTTAAGCCCCGCGGGCTCACCTTGACGGAGAAGACCAGCGCCAGGAAGCCGAGGCAGCAGACGTTGCAGAAGAGGGTGTTGAAGAGGGACCAGAGCACGTGGTCGCGGGGCTGCTCGGCGGGGAAGCCCGGCGCGGGGACCACGCAGGAATAGGGGGGAGCCGGCTCCGCCCGACCCCTGTGGGGGCCG